TCAACGCATCAGAGGCGTTTGGAGCTTGCATGCAAGAGTAGAAAGCATGTAGGTGATCATCGAGATCCTTCGTTCCATCATAAGTCTCAAGCTGAGGTCTTTTGAAGCCAGTAGGATAGGGTTCCAGTGTGATGTTGGTGTTCAGAGGGTGGGGTATGGAGTCAGCAACATGGTGTGGAGGTGGGGCACCTCTGTGTTCAGCTACTAGCTTTTCTAAGCTGTCTAGACGTCGAGTGACATCATCAAGATGGGGTTGCTAAGCTGGTGCTATGTGAGACTGGCCTTGAGATTCACTAAGAGCAAGAGCATGCTGAACTAGTTTAGGGTTTTGTTGTGGAGCTAGGGGTTGTGGAGCAGGGTTAAGTAGATTGATGAGGGGATCACCAGGGTTGTTCCAAGCTAAGAGTTGAGACAGCGCTAGCTGAAAGACACCAAATTGCTGTTACATGGCAGCAAGCTGAGCTGCAACTACGTCTTGGTTGGCCGTGGAAGCTGAGTTGTGAGCCGAGTTGTGTGGTTGGTTTTCATCTCCTCCTTCGGCATGATCAACAGGAGGGAACGTATTTGGGATCGAAGGTGGGAGGTGAGGTGGGAGGTTGCTGGGGACTTGACCTCGTCCAAGAGGCTGAGATGAGTTTCCAGCTCGGACTGATCGAGTATTAACCATGATAAGAGCAACAGGGGAACTTTCAGTTCGGTTTCCCACAGACGACGCCAAATGTGATTACACCAAACCAGAAGTCCTTCTTCAGTCCGTATCTGCACTCCAGATTGACCTGCAAATCCCCGAGGTGGGTCCTCAGGGTAGACACTCCAATGCTTAAGTCAACAATAATCGGGGTTACCTTTAGAACGGAGATAAAATGAGCTTAAGGTTGGTTTCAATTACTTTTTTGACGTGGCTCTTGGGGGGTATTTATAGGCTCCAGTGAGGAGCTCACGTGGCATGCAAAGCAAGATAGTCAGACCCTGACGTGTCTATCCAAACGGTTATTTCGGGATCGGGAATTTGAGGGATATTCAGATGCAAGGATGTCCATCATAATTGCTGCGCATCTTATCATAAAGAATCATGGCGGGCATGCTTATTGTCGCTGTCATGCAGCTATTTGAGTGGGAGGTTTTGGATTTATCCTTTCCTTCGGTCATAAAGGAATTACTGTCGTACATCCGAAGTTGGGCACCTTAGACCTGCCCTTACAGATTTAGTGCAATGAGATAATCTTTAGTGATAATTAAATTAATTATGTATAATAGATCAACAATTTAAATATTTAATGATAATTTATAATTTTTTAGATTCAAAAAATGAATCATGTGTTCATTTGAGTCCATATAAAATGCAGATAAAGTATGATAAGTAATAAAAAAGAGCAAACTACAATAAAATAATAATAATTAAAGCCACCAAAAAAAAACCAAATAGTTAGGAATAGTATTTTTTTATTTATGATTTATAGAATAGATCTCTTGTAGAACCATTTTAACGCATACGTAAAGCATCTTATTGTAGTGATATTTAATTTATCTGCTGCTTTTTTCACTTCCATGCAGGGTAGAAAAGTATCCTCGAATAAAACTGTTTTTCTTTGCAAAGATGGGGCCCGTAAGGCAATGGATGGCAAAAAAAATTAAAAAAAGCTTAACTGATGTCACCGTTTGTACTTAATGGTCAATAAC